CGTGTCAGGGGGGTCTGTGGGGGCCTGAGCTTTCTGCCAGTGAAAACGGGTGCCCGAGTTCCGTTTCCGGCTGTGGTGGCCTCCTAAAACCCTCTGCTGGGGGTGACAGAGGCACTGCGGGCCAGTCCTTCACTGTTTCCAGGGTGGCCCTGCAGGCCATATCTAAGCACCCTGCGGGCCAGATCCAGTCTGTGTGCCTTGAGTTTGACACCCCTGTTGTAGATGAAAGAAGAATGCAAAATTATTCTATTGCTGAAAATTAAAACAAATAAAATAAGATTATATTAACAGGCATTACCAATGTAATGTACTGTTAATGTACTACTTCAGTTACCAAGTAACTGAAGTAGTAATAGATTTTATCTTCCTAGGGTTTAAAAAAAAATTCACACAGTTATAACCATGCTATAAAGAGACATCTGCTACTGGGGAGACAAGTATGAACTATCTAGACAAAATATTAAAACTCAGCGACTTTGTACTAGCAACAAAGGCACATATTGCCAAGGTTATAGTTTTCACGGCGGTAGCATATGGCTGTAAAAACTGGACTGTCTAAAAAACTGAATGATAAATGGTTGTTTCTGAATTGTGGTGCTAGAGACAACTAGAATGAATCATCCACTATGAGATGACTTAAAAAACCGAACTGTGCAATAGGAGCGCTGATAATGAAGCCAAAGCTTAAATATTTTGTACCCATTATGAGAAGACAAGAGCCATTAGAGAAGACCCTGATTTTGGAAGCCAATGAAAAAGAGTTTAATAAAAGACTAAGTAATGTATAGTATTTTTAAGGACATTTAAGGATGAACGTTGAAGAACTCAAAAAAGCAATCACTGGCAGAAAATCCTGGAGAAATGATGGCCACAGGTCACAAAGAGTCATAAACACCAAAAGATCCATGCAGGCTTTTATTCAATTCCTCTTCTGCTTGAAAAATAGATTTTCCATTGCCCAAAACGGGGCAGCTCATCACTAGAATTCTAGTTTGATTATTTTTATGCCTCACTCTTTAAGAAAAGGAGGATCCCAGAAAGACCACTAAGTGGCGCTCTGGCTTAACCTGAATTTCACTCCCAAATTTAGGAAAAGGACAGAAAAGCGAATGGAAACAAGAGTCCAGAGGTTTTGTTTCCAGCTCTGCCAATAAGCCGTTAATTTGAGCATCTGCTTCTGAAAACACAGACATTCAAGAGGTAGTCCTGTTGCAAAAATAAGAATAATAAAAGGTGCTCTGGATAACGATTGTGGAGTGGACCTGGTCTCACTCCAAAGGCTAGGAAGCTCTAAGATTGCAAAATGTTACAGAGGGTAGCATAGCTGCTAAGAATAATGCTAAAGTGGGAATGATTAAAAGCCAAACATTTGAGTTAGAAACAATACCTATGAAATGGTTTTCCTCATCAAGTTTGGCCACGGACAACAATCAACTGAGTTTTAATAAAATAACCAAGCCAAACCAATTCTAGAAATAAGACACCACTTCTGAACCACAGGCATTTAATGGATGGCTCAGACTGGGTGCCTTTTTTTTGGCATGTTCTGCACCACTTCTTCGACAGTTTGCAATATTTTAAATTTAATTTAGACACATGTTTGAAAAGAGGCTGTTTAGCCATAGGTGCAGGCGTGAAATTCACCAGGTTCTGACAGGTTCTGGAGAACCGGTAGCAGAAATTTTGAGTAGTTTGGAGAACCGGCAAATACCACCTCTGGCTGGCCCCAGAGTGATATGGGAATGGGGATTTTGCAATATCCTTAATACCAGGAGTGGGGAGGGAATGTGGATTTTGCAGTATCCTTCCCCTGGAATCGGGGAGGGAATGGGATTTTTTCAGTATCCTTCCCCCAGCAGAGTGGGGAGGAATGGAGATTTTGCCATATCCTTCCCCCAGCAGTGGGGAGGGAATGGGGATTTTGCAGTATCCTTCCCCTGACACACCCACCAAGCCACGCTCACAGAACCAGTCGGGAAAATTTTTGAATTTCACCCCTGCATAGGTGCTTGCATATATTTTACTCTGAAAGAGATACATTTTAAGCTTTTTTTTTTCTAAGCCAAGAACTGCACTCTAAAAGAAACCTTCACGCTAGAGAAACAGTAAAACATACCTATAATTTTGTGTGTGTGTGTGTGTGTGTGTATGTGGGGCATGACGTAGTTCTACTTCCAAAGGACTAGCCAAATTGTAATACCTTCCTGAAAAATCAACCGGGGGGGGGGAAAAATCTCGGGGGGGGGGGGGGAGGAAGCTGTTTCAAAGACAGAGATCACCTGAGAAGATGACCATCTTCCTGAAGATGACATGGGCATCTAGAGTAAGCCAAAAATCATGTCACATGCATCATGATATCATCACAGAAATAATCTGTGCAGGGCTGCCAAACTCCTGGCCCACGGGCCGGATGCGTCAGGCACTGGCCACGGCCACACCTGGTTTTGCAAAGGGGAACGAAGTTCTGACATATGTCATGTGATGCCGCTGAGATGTCGTGAGTTTGACACCCTTGCTGCAGTGGGTCTTCTCTTGTTTAGAATCGTGTAAAAACCATTTGGAAGCTTCAAGTGGTCCAGAATCAACCATCCTGAGTAGTGACGTGAATGACTAAGTATCCCCACATAATACTTCTATTTGTGGAGCCCATCATTTCCTGGATGTCAGTCAAAGTGCTTGTCAGAAGTGACAAGCACTTTGACAAACTGTTTGTCAAAGAATGACATGGGGCAGATCGTCCAAGTTGAGTTCATTATTGTTTCACACTGATAGACAGAATCTTGCCAAACTAAAGACTCTACTGTCTGCTTCTGTGAACTATTAAGTTGTGCTTGTCTTCCTCTCACACGTAACATTTGGGCTGAATTGTTTTGTACTCCTCTGGGATGCACCTCTCCTGTCCTGAGAATCCACTTCTGCAATACATTCCATCACAATACTGGTTATCATTTTTAAAACCCTATATTTCTTAGAAATTTAGTACCCCCTATTCCCATGGGCTTCTGTCCATCTAGTACGCTCTAGGATAGTAGGCATTCTCTTGGTGACTTCCCGCAAAGAATATCATCTGTTCTGGATTGATTTTGGGAAAAATAATACCGTGGTACAGCATCTATACCCGTGATGAAGAACGTTTGGCATGCGTTCCAGAGGTGGCATGCAGAACCCTCTCTGATGGTACGTGAGCCGTCACTCCAGTTCAACTCTGCTGCGCATGCGCACACTCCTCCCACTGGCCAGCTGGTCTTGAGGAGGGTGAACTGTGTCCGGAGCGGTGCATGCACAAGCGGAGGACATGTGCGCCAGGGTGGGGCACATGCAGGGGGCCACGCACACATTGCATTTTGGGGGTTTGGGTGCATGCTTTGGGCCCTCAGTCTGGAAAAGGTTACCAATCATTGAACTATACTGTATACTGTATACTCCCTATACCGAGTGCCAAAAAGGGAGCATGCTCACTGGGGCCGCAACCCGGAAGAGGAGCTGCCCAGGGGGTATGTGTGTGCTGGAAAATGAACTTCTGGTTTCCGGTGCATATCTTCTGGTTACTGGCATGCATACACGTGTGACGATCAGCTGTCTGGTGCACATGCTCACACCAGAAAATGGAAGACCAGCTCTTCCAGTTTCTGGCACTGCTGCATGCATGAAGGCCAGCTGATCATCACGGCCCTATACGATCTGAGATCAAGTTTATCAAACAATCTTGGAGATCACACAGAATCATGTGATAAAGGAAGAAATTAGACACCTGCTAAGATTTCTTTCACATAGCAAGAGATGTTAATAAGCAAATGTGGGCTCTTTCACATCTTATCTTAATAGCAATAGCAATAGCACTTAGACTTATATTCCGCTTCACAGTGCTTTTCAGCCCACTTTAAATGGTTTATAGAGTCAGCATATTGCCCCCAATAATCTGGGCTCTCATTTTACCGACCCTGAAAAGATGGAAGGCTGCATCAACCTGGAGCAGGTGAGAGTCGAACTGCAAATTGCAGGCAGCCGGCAGTCAGCAGAATTAGCCTGCAGTACTGCATTCTAACCACTGTGCCACTGTGACTCTTAGTTAGTTTATGCATCAAGCTAAATTGAGTTTGTTTAAACATGGATTTTGAAAAAAGCCACGATTGGTTGGCTTTGCAGAGCATACTAAGACATTATTTGTGGTCCACTAACCATGTTGGCTTAATTCATATAACATAAGCTAAGCAAACCTCATTTCTTTTCTTGCATGAATGAAAGACTTAGTTTATGAATGGAACGTGTGATCACAAAGACTAGTGAAGCAGAATGCTTTGTTGCTATTTATATAATGAGCCGTTACCTATTAAACTCTACAGGAACATTTTTTTAAGGCAATGGTATTTCCATAAAAGGTAAAGGTAAAGTTTCCCCTTGCACATCTGTGCTAGTCGTTCCCAACTCTAGGGGGCGGTGCTCATCTCTGTTTCAAAGCCGAAGAGCCAGCGCTGTCCAAAGACGTCTCCTTGGTCATGTGGCCAGCATGACTCAACGCCAAAGACATACGGAACGCTGTTACCTTCCCACCAAAGGGGGTCCCTATTTTTCTACTTGCATTTTTTTACGTGCTTTCAAACTGCTAGGTTGGCAGAAGCTGGGACAAGTAACTCATCCTGTTACACGGCACTCAGGATTCGAACCGCTGAACTGCCGACCTTTTGATCAACAAGCTCAGCGTCTTAGCCACCGAGCCACCGTGTCCCTTGGTATTTCCATAGAAGATGCCAGAAGTATCAAAATGGTGGCCATGGTTGCACAATTAAAGACCCCGGAATGCCTCCTAATCAACATCTTGACTTTTTCTATACCTGTTTCAAGGGAAACTTCATGGTTTTATTATAAGTTCTGCTTAATGGCTGGAGTTTGCGAATAGTTGCCGTGTGCTCAATATCTAGTGTTCCCTCCGTCCTCCCCAATTATCCCATATAAGCCAAACAGCAACCCATGGAATGAAGAGTCTTTACTGTATCACTTACCCATTAGGTAGCTTTCTGAGGACATAAAAAGCAGTGTATGAATACCGGTACATCTGCAAAATAAAATAATGAGAGAGATTAAAAAATGACATTAGTAACGACAAGACATGGATGGTTGCCTAAAACCTAGTGTAAAAAAAGTAGGTTCGATTGCATTTATTAAGGTGGCGGTAGTAGGAAAGACATAAAAATTAATTTTCTTCTGTTGGAGCAGAGGGAATCCATCTACCTTCTGCTGTTGTGAGAGCTTTGCACCTGGTTGGGTGCTTTTGTGAATCCGGAGGCTTTGTTTCATTGCCACGGAGACCATATCTTTGATGATACTGGGGCACAAGTTCCCAGCAATAACTAAATTTGGAATAACCAATAATGAGGACAGTGCAGCTTGCCAGAGGCAGCATTCACAGTTATAACTAAAGCCAAACAGAGAAATAGCCCCAAACACAGTTCTAATCCATTGTAAATGAGGACCCAGATTGTGGGGGCAATAAACTGACTTTGTATAAATATACAAAAGTATGAAGGCCATTGCTTAACGCATTGTAAGCCGCCCTGAGTCTCCGGAGAAGGGCGGCATATAAATTAAAGCCAAAAAAAAAAAAAAAAAGTACCCAGGCATTAATTTGCTAGCCCCAGAATAAAAGTCACAGTGTCCTTTTCCTGTTTTAGAGTGAAAGTTTATGGTGTCAGCGCTTCTTCCTGAACTTTTGAGCTTCCTGTTTACTCTTAGGAGTAACAATTTATAGCAAACCAATGCATGCATCTTTGACCTGAGAAATAAACTTTGGCAAGTCTTGTGAGGGTGAAATTAAAAGGAAGGTTATATTAGCATTGGGTAAGGAGAGAAAATGCTACCAATTGTAGCAACTAAGATGCTAGTCCTCACTGCAGTCCTCAGGAAGAGATGACTCCTTAGAAGGAGCGTACTCAGGGGTACAGCAGGTTCTGACAGGTTCTGGAGAACCGGTAGCAGAAATTTTGAGCAGTTCAGAAAAGCGGTAGCGGAAATTTTGAGCAGTTCGGAGAACCGGTAGCAGAAATTTTGAGTAGTTCAGATAATTGGCAAATACCACCTCTGGCTGACCCCAGAGTGGGGTGGGAATGGAGATTTTGCAATATCTTTCCCCTAGGAGTGGGGAGGTAATGGGAATTTTGCAGTATCCTTCCCCTGCCATGCCCACCAAGCCACACCAGAGCAAACCCACCAAGCCACGCCCATAGAACCAGTAGTAAAAAAAAATTGGATTGCACCACTGAGCGTACTATATTAAAATAAATAATTAAAAAATAATATTCAAAGGATATTTACGTAGTTCAAAATACAGGTTGTCCCCAATGTATAGCCAAAATGGGGAGAAGAATTTCCATTGCTGACTAAGGCAGTTGTTAAATGAATCGCACGCAATTTTACAACCTCATAGTTGTTAAGTGAATCACTTAATAGATGTTAAGAGTTGTTGTTGACTTTGCTTGTTGGAAGCTGGCTGGGAAGATCACAAATGACTGTCACATGACCTTGGAATACTACAACTGTTGTAAATATAAGCCAGTTGCCAAACATCTGAATTTTGATCCCCTTATGGTGATGCTGCAATGATTATAATTCATTTTTTTTCAGTGTTATTATAACTTTGAGTAGTCACTAAACAAATCGTTGTACGTTTCCCTGTAACCCATAACAAACCTGTGTTAGTTATGTATAAATAGTTAGTTAGTAATAAATATTATTACATTTATTAAAATGTTACTTTAATGACACCTGGTTTTTTGTAGTTTTATGCAGGTGAACAAATGTTGCCAGCAACAATATCTTGGCATCTTCATTCCACTTTTGGGGGTTATTTGAATATTATAGTAATCTATATTTTATTGTGCTGTAGTCAGGAGCTTGTAATAAAGGAATTGCTGATGTTACATTTAAAAAATCCAAAAGGTAACTTTCAAAAGTTATCCGTATTCATCGACTATCTGCTTTTGGGCCCAGTAACGCTTCCTCAAATGCTTCTATAAAATTGCTTGGAGAGCAGTTTCTGCTTTGCTCCCTTCAGTAGCCACAATGCCAAATTCTGATACTCAAGTAGGCCTCGATGTATCTCCTTCCCACTTTCCAACAAGTGTTTCCCAACCATGGCAACTTTAAGATGTGTGTGAGCTTCAACTCCCAGAATTCTACCTGGGGAATTCTGGGAGTTGAAATCCACACATCTTAAAGTTGCCAAGGTTGAGAAGCATTGCTCCAACAGGATGAAAATGAAGTCATTCACCTCAGTGGTGAAATTCAATTTTTTTACTACCAGTTTGGTGGGCGTGGCTTTGTAGGCGTGATGTGGCTTTGTGGGCGTGGCAGGGGAAGGATACTGCAAAATCTCCATTTCCACCCCACTCTGGGACCAGCCAGAGGTGGTATTTGCCAGTTCTCCGAACTACTCAAAATTTTCGCTACCGGTTCTCCGAACTACTCAAAATTTCCGCTACTGGTTCTGCAGAACCTGTCAGAACCTGCTGGATTCTGTCAGAATCTGATTCACTGTTTTGGCATGCAGGGAGCAAATTAGTAATCCTCGACTTACGACCACAATTGAGCCCAACATTTCTGTTGCTAAGTCAGACAGTTGTTAAATGAGATTTGCTGACCTTTTATTACCTTTCTTGCCAAAGCTGTTAAAGCAATCACTGCAGTTATGTTAGTTACACAATTATAAAATGAATCTGGCTTCCCCATTGCCTTGTCAGAAGGTTGCAAAAGTTGATTGCGTGACACTGCAGCCATCATAAATATGAGTCAGTTGCCAAGCATTTGATGTTTGGATCACATGAACATGGGGATGCTGCAATGGTCATAAGTGTGAAAAATAATCAGGTGACTATTTTTAATGCCATTGTTAACTTGATCACTAAACGAACTGTTGTATATCAAGGACTACTTGTAGTTTTCTCTGAATAATTTCTATGCAAGAGATACTAAAATGCTGTCCATTCCCACCACTTTTACAGCGTGATTGTGTAGGACGTTGTGGTCATGGAAACGCTCCCACGTCTAACTGACACAGTTAGCACAGAATCTTGACATTTCCTGCTTAACAAGGCCACTGAATTATCTAGATTGCAGAAATAAAGTCAACGTGTCCAGTTACATGTGCTCTAAATGGACAGCTAATGAATACATCATTCGCTGGTAAATATGACAATTCCAAAGCATTGTTATGAAATGAGCTAAGTCTAGGCCAAAAGGTGATGGAAAGATTTATTGTATTTTTATATTCTCGCCTTGTTTTTGCAGATATATACAAAGAATGGGGAGGCTTATTAAACAATTGCATCAATCCAACACTACTGGAGCGCACAAATGAAGAGCCTTGGTAGTACAGGGGTTTAAGGCACCCTGTTATTAAGCTTATTAAGACCAGCTGCCTGCAATTACTGCAGGGTTCGAATCTTGCCAAGGCTCAAGGTTGACTCAGCCTTCCATCCTTTCTAAGGTAGGTGAAATGAGGACCCAGTTTGTGGGGGCAATAAGCTGACTTTGTATAAATATACAAAAGGTTGAAGGCTATTGCTGAGCACATTGTAAGCCGCCCTGAGTCTTCGGAGAAGGGCGGCATATAAATCAAATTAAAAAAAATAAAATTAATAAAATTAATCATTCCCACTACCATGAAATCATCTCTGATCCCAGATTCATTTAGAATCATGGAATCATAAGACTGGATGCAATCTTGGAGGACTTCTCATCCAATCCCCTGCCCAGCACTGAAGACTTGGTTATCATGTTGCTATTTGGGAAAAGATATACAAAGCCATGATGTGTGTAAGCCTATCAGAATATCAGAGATATCAGAATCATATACCACCAATGGTTTTCCATATGAAACTTTATGCGCACAAAAGTTGGACTTTGAAGAAGCAGAAGGTTGATGGACGCATTTGAGCTTTGGTGTGACACTATGGTTAACCAAGAAAACAAATGGTAAGTAATCAACTCAGAGTTCTCACTTGGGGTACAAATGGCCAGCCTCAAGTTATGGTATTTTGGATGCCCTGTGTGAAAATCCAACTCTGTTGAGATGCTGGGCAAGGTGGAAGAAAAGAGAATAGGCTGACCAGTAGCTAGATGGATGGTCTCAGTTATAGTGCACTGATGAAGGATCTGAAAGACAGGCTGGGGCAGATTGTCCTGAAAAAAATCTGACTTGTCCTCTGAGTTCCATGCTAATTATTTGGGAACTATCTAGAAGCAAGGATGTTAGACAAAACCCAGGTCTATGTAGTTAATGACCATCGCAATGCAAAGCGGTTACCATTCAGAAGTAATCCTCGGTGGGTATAAAAGGATTTACTCCAAAACAAATGAGCCTGATATGTAAGCATGAATTTGTCCTACAATATGATACCTCTGATGGAGTTATATTTGTTTTTGGAGTCTTGAGCAGTCATAACCAACTTGATATTTTCCAGAAATGGTGAGTGAAATTCAGAGAGAGAGAGAGAGAGAGGGAGGGAGGGAGGGAGAGAGAGAGAGGGAAGGGAGGGAGGGAAAGAGAAAGGGGGAGGGAGGGAGAGAGAGAGGGAAGAAGGGAGGGAGAGAGGGAGAGAGAGGGAAGGAGGGAGGGGGAGAGAGGGAGGGAGGGAGAGAGAGAGGGGGAAGGAGGGAGGGAGAGAGAGGGAAGGAAGGAGGGAGAAAGAGAGGGAAGGAGGGAGGGAGGGAGAGAGAGGGAAGGAGGGAGGGAGAAAGGGGGAAGGAGGGAGAGAGAGAGTGAAGGAGGAAGGGAGAGTGAAGGAGGGAGGGAGGGAGAGAGAGGGAGGGAGGGAGGGAGAGAGAGGGAAGGAGGGAGGGAGGGAGAGAGAGAGGGAAGGAGGGAGGGGGGGAGGGAGGGAAGGAGGGAGAGAGTGAGGGAAGGAGGGAGGGAGGGAGAGAGAGAGGAAGGAGGGAGGGGGAGAGAGAGGGGAGGGAGGGAGAGGGAGGGAGGGAGGGAGAGGGAGGGAGAGGGAGGGAAGGAGGGAGAGAGAGAGGGAAGGAGGGAGGGAGAGAAAGAGGGAAGGAGGGAGGGAGAGA